TTGATTGTAGGTTGGTGTTTTGAATAAAGAGAAAGAAAGGAGAGAATTCTCATAGTAAATAAAAAATTTTGAACTTTCAATTCAAGACTTCCGACTAATATTTGTTTCGTGAACCATATGTGAAAGGAACAATTAATAGCATAATTCAATTTTTTTTAAAAACAAGTATTTTTCCTATTAAGTTTAGAGACAATGAATAACATTGCACTAAACTCCAGAGACTTAAAATAGAAGTAAAAAAATATCAATATATTTTTCTTTTACGAATTCTTATTTCCTAAAACATTCAATTGCAATAAAATATTTCTGGGTCACTGTCAGTAACGTCTTCAAGAAATAACTGAAGATCATTAGATGAATAAAATTATAAGTAATAGTGAATCAGTTGACTGCTTCTCAACCATCCCAACCAAACGTGCCATGAGTCTTGATCAGCAGTAGCTCCATAAGGGGATGTCAGTATCTTCATAAGGATCTTCCGTAATTAATGGACCAAAGAATCCTCCATTGAGGAGGATATCTGCGTACTTAGGGGAATCAAAGTTGTACCATGAGGCCATTATAGGCTCATCTGCAACATGGGGTACTGTGTAGTCATTGATCAATGGTGGTACTAGTGAGACAGCATCATCTTCAATGAGGCTGCAGACAGGCGATGAAGAAGATAAAGTTGGAGATGGGGTGGCTGGTTGTGGTGTTGAGGCTGATGACGTGGAAGAGACGGGCGGTCCCGACAGAGGAAAACCACCTTTGGCGGCGGCGGCTGCCATCCTTTGGATGGACTTAGGGGACATGATGGTATTAGGGTGGAGGTTTTGTGATTTGGATATTGGGAAGTTAAAATTGGCTGAAGTTCCCCTGAGGCATAAGAGTGCAGCATCATATGCCCTAGCAGCTGCCTCTGGTGTTGAATATGAACCTAACCATATTCTTATCTTTTGGTTTGGTGCCCTTATTTCAGAAACCCATGATCCCCAGCTTCTCATTCTAACTCCCTTGTATTTTTTGCATAACGAGGAGGAGGACGAGGGTGAGGGCGACAAAACTTCTTTGGCTGCCCCTGATTGGATCTTTTGTTCCTTCACCATTCTTGGATTACCTCGAAGAATCAATATTCGTGTCGTCTCACAATGTTCTGAACTCAACTCTCGTGTTACTTGAATCAACGAAAAACTGGACCCCGAATCTTGAATCCGGGGGACCTTTTCAACTGAAGATGTGATAAACTAAAATGGAAGAAGAATCAATGAAGGGTTTCTCTTTTTTGTATATCTGATAAGAATGATGCAATTTGGAGTGATTATTTAGGAGAAAAGATTAATATTTATAGATGGGGTTTTGGGGTTTGATGTGATGAACAGATCTATTTGGTCAAGGATAGCAATGTCTTCATGTAACATCAAATGGGTGACACATTTTTAAATTTTTTAAATTATAAATAAAATATTCCAATGACCTTTTTGACCCCATGGGAATTATTCACAGGCTCAAAGACAAGTTAAAAAAATGGAAAACATGTGTCGACACATGATTGAAAAGTTTGAAAAAAAAAATAGAAATACAACATCTAATTATTATCTACCACATTATCCTATCCCTCCACTCCCGTCTTTTAGTCTGTCCAAAGAACATTATTCTTATTCACAGGCACTATACAGGTGCTGCCGTGCTGCGTTGGCAGCACTCGTATGGTGCATTTTTTTGTTAGTTTTGTTGCAAATCAATCAAAAATTGGCAAGTGTCTAATTTGTAAAGACTTTTGTCAAATTCCTCCTATACGTGTAACATCACTATGGTAAAAATACCTTTTTAATGCCTTTCGAACTCACTATTATCATTTATGTACCGTGGTAAAAATACCCCATAGCCCTAGCTATCGTAACTTTTAACGCCTTTTTGATAAATTTAGCCCCTATTTGAGATCCATCTTTTAGGTGAAATATATTATGAAATAGTAATTTTTTGGAAAATGTATGGTTAAAAAATAGAGAAAATTTTTGAGCTTACGTGTAAAATTATTTTAAGGAGAATGTGTGATTAAAAATTAGTTTTCGAAAAGTGAATTTTGAAAAAAAAAAAAAAAGGGCTTAGAATAGGAACTCTAGATCATTTTTTACGCTCAATTCATTTTTTGTTACATTTACTTCAAGATATCATATCCTTAGCCCATGTTTGCTTGTCATTATTTCGAGAAAATTGAGTTTTGAATAGTGATTTTTTGGAGAATAAGTAAAAGTTTTGAATTTACTTGCAAAAATGTTTATTGTATAAATGTGTATTTGAAAATGAGAATGAAAATTAACGAATTTTAAAATACTAATTGTTTTTAACGTCTTGAGTACAAAGAATAGATAGTTTGACCTATCTTTACGACGGAGTTAAAGAGAAAATATGAAGCTTCTTCTCGTCTTCCTTACCATTTATGCTGAGTACAGCTGAGAAGTGTCAAGTTTTTCAAAAGCTGCCCCATCACACATGTGCTAAGAATAGGTACATTTTGCAGTCCAGTTTTTCTCAATATCCATTCTTGACTTTCACCACAAGTCACTTCCATTGACACACAGAAAATGACTCCAGAAAAAGTAATTTAGCCCTTCTATGGGCCCTCTCCATTTAAAAAAAACCCAAAGTAATTAGAGTAAAATTTGAATTCTCGCCCTTAGGGCCAACTGATCAGTCTTTTGACCATGTACATATAAAATACATATATATTGGAAATTCAAGAAGTTCGAGGAGCATCCCATTTTTGCTTGAAGCTTAATTGAGTAACTAAAATTTCAAGATTTGGCGCGCATAAAAGAATTCGTAATTCCATGTTGCTTAAATACAAACATAGACATTTTAGAGTTAAACCATTTGTACAGGGAAAATGGTTGACAGAAATTTTACCAACTCTCACAATGTGTAGGACCCACCAAAATAAAAAATGAAAAAAAAAAAAACCCACCCCCTTTGCATTTGTGAGTGTCTGTTAACAAAACCACCCTACCCCCTGTGAACCCTCACCTGCACGAGTAGCATGATTGGACATTTTAAGATGTAACTTCAATAATTAGTATCATTTTAGAGCACTACAAGCAAAACTACTAGTTTGATAGGTCTAATTAAGAGGCTGTTTGGCACCCATTCTTTTGAAGAATGAGTTTTTGAATAGTGATTGATGTAAAGAATGTGTGGCTAAAAAGTAAGAAAAATTTTTGGGTTTATGTGTAATATTATTTTATTTGGAGAATGTGTAGTTAGAAATGAGTACTATAGAAGAATGAGAATGAGATAAAAAAATGGGTGTCAAACGGGGGCTAAAGCTCAAAAAATAGTCAGATTTTAAGGTTAGTGTTCGTTAGGGTTTATGAATAGTTTGATATACTTTGCACGTAATCTCTCACTGTATCATGTGTGTATTTAATATATGGGAATAAAATAATGCGTGCTAGTAAGTGAAAAATAAGGATTCTTTGAAAAGCAGCTTCCAGGATTCTGCAGGATGCTTATGGGAGTGTGCTTCCTCCAGAATAATCTATACCAAAATAATCAAGAAAACAAAAATAAGCACGCGCTTAGCATTAATTATAAGCAGAAAAAAAAAAAAGAAAAGAAAAACAGCTGGTGCTTCTCTGTTTGCATGTATCTCTCAAAACGCGTATATACAGATGATGGAATTGAATAAAATAAAGAATTTGCAGAACTGCAACCGTTCGATGGACTAAAAGCTGACGCCTACACGATTTGACTTTTGCTCTTGGAATTTTCAAAGGCTTTGTTTTAGTTTTAGACTAATTCGCTTATGGTAACTGGTAAGGTACAACAGTACAACTGAAAGATTCAGCTTTTACTTTTTAGTTTTTGCTTTGGGAAAGGCCATTATACACACAAATGAACACGTCGACGTGTTTCTTTTGGAACAAAATTCCTTTCCCATGTGTGGCCACGGGTTCACATATGGAGCAAGGTGTAAGTGGCTTGACCATAGAGCCATTCAGACTCAAACCGACTCATATCTACAACCTTACATGAAAAGTTCATGTGAACGATCAAATTAGGGTTGTTCATAGATTCTGCAACTGCCTATTTTACGATGCAAACCAATTATATAAATTGAATGCAGCATAGGGATACTTGGTCTCGAGACGATTCACTTTTACACCTTTATGTGAGAAGATCATGCAACAATCAAAATTGAGGTGTGTATCTTTCATTTTTGACAAGTTGTTGATCATTGCTGCAAGGGTCATTCCTATTAGAGCCTATACCATATGAGTCAACATATGACTCATATCACATGGTGATATTAGTCTTCAAAACTTCTATTCACATGGTGTTGAGTTTCATCAAATGCCTAAAACGTGCAATTTTTAAATTTAGAGTGTGTTTGGTATGGATTTTTTGGGGAATAATTGATTTTTGAATAGTGATATGATGAGAAATGTGTTGTTGAAAAAGAAGAAAAAAGTATTGATGTGATGGAAAATATTATTTTATTGAAGAATGTGTAGTTGAAAATGAGTAGAAGNTGAGAAATGTGTTGTTGAAAAAGAAGAAAAAAGTATTGATGTGATGGAAAATATTATTTTATTGAAGAATGTGTAGTTGAAAATGAGAATTGATTTACTGTAGAAAATGAAAATCTCTACCAAACAGGCTCTTAGTATCTTAAAACTTACATTTGAGAAATATATTAATCTCTGAACTACTCTATCTAGAAAATTAGATTATTAAAGACAGAATCCATGTTTGGTGTAAATTAGAAGTTGATAAAAATTTCAAGTCAAAATCAATAATTAATTTTAACCACATATGATTTCATTGGACCTGTAACTTTTCGACCAAACATTTCATCAAATTTTAATCTAGGATTTATTGAAATTTTGATTTTAATCTAAATCGAACAGTAGCATAATAAATAAATTATAACTTCAACAACGTCTAATTCAATGAGACATAGCCCCTATTTATTTTAGATAAAAATTAGATTTTTCGTAAAATTTAATAAAAATTAATGAAATATGTAGTTAAAAAAAATTGTGGATCCCAAAAAAATGTATAATTAAAATAAATTATTGATTTTGATTTAAATTTAATATTTTAATTGAACCAATCGAACCTTTAGCTTCTGTTTGATGGCCCTTATTTGATCAAAATAATGTTTCAAATAGTAATTTTAAAAGAGAACGTGTGGCTAAAAAATAGAAAAAATAAATTTGAATTTATTTGTAAAATATTTTATTGAAAAAAAAAAAAAAAGCACCCAAACAATGGTGGTCAGACGTGGACATGTGTTGACAACAAACTGAAATAAAACTTTTCCAACAAGTTGTCAGAAATGCCGCAACCTTGACCGTGATCCTAAGAGATTTAATTGAAATTGACAGGTCATGTAGTGTGTCACTCACACTGAAACTTCCCTCAATGTAATCCAGCTCATGCATCGACATTTAAGGATAAATTCCGTCCGGCCCCATTACTTGATATTATAATTTTTGTAATAATATTTTTAAGAAAAGTGGATGATTGAAAAAGAATAAAAAAAATTTCAATTTATATATAATATTATTTTATTAAAAAATGTGTGATTAAAAAAAAAGAAAAATATAATATAATTTTAATGTGATCAAATGAGAGAACTTAAGGGTTACTATTGAGTAAACTTATTTATAAATTGGGTACAAATTGATATTTTCAAAATTACTTTTGCATTCTCATTTACATATCGATGGATTTAAATTCAAATTTTACTCCGGTTTTTGTCTTTTGTGAATGTAAAAAAAGATATACATTGACATTTTTTTTTTACTTGAAAATGAAATTTGCATTTCCTTTGCACCTCTCAACTGAAGAGGTTTTCGACATTACGATTGGATATGCTCTAAGTTACTCATTTTAACAAATTAATAATTACTTCAATTTATGAAAAAGGTAATTTTTTCATGTCTTAACTAAAGTGTTTCAAATGAAAAAATTTCTTCACAATACATTGATCGATCATTCATTAGGGAAAAAAAAAAGGAAGAAAAAGTATCATCTTAGAGAGAGTTGATTCAATCTTGAATGAACGTGCTTAAAAAGAATAGTGTCGGGTCAATCCGTACAA